AGTATCTTTCTTTCTCTTTTTTTTTTTTTTTTTTAATGGAACTCAGGGCCTTCACCTGGAACCACTATACCAGCCCTACCAGCCCTATTTTTGTGATGTGTTTTTTTGAGATAGGATCTCATACAACTATTTGCTCAGGCTGGCTTTAAACCTGTATCCTCCTGATCTCTGCCTCCTGAGTAGGATTACAGATGTGAGCCACAGGTGCCTAACATACTTTGCATGAACTGTGTGTATCCTTACCTTAGTATATATCTCTTTGGTCCAAGTTGATCTATAACATTGTTCAAATCTTCTAAATTTTTAATGATTTTATCTTATTCTGTCACTATTGAGGCCATTGGATTTTCTGATGATAGTCATGAATACCTCTAATTCTCCTTGTATTTTTTAAATCAGTTTTTGTTTCATGTATTTTGAACTCTGTTATTATGTGCACAAATAATTAGAATTGTCTTCTTGTGGTGATATTCTTTTCCCTCCAATCTCCTTCATTTGATAATGCTACTCTTTTTTTTTTTTTTTTTTTGCAGTGCTTGGGACACTGCTAGGCAAGCACTCTATCACTGAACCACACTCCTACTACTTTAGCTTTCTCTTGAGCATTGTTAGTGTGGTATATCTTTTTTCATCCTTTTACTTTTCCTATTTACATCTTTGTGCTTTAGTTTGTTTGCTTGTAGAATTGGAGCTTGAACTCCAGGCTTCATGCTTGCAAAGCAGGTGCTCTACTGCTTGAACCATGTCTCCAGTCCATTTTGCTCTGGTTATTTTGGAGATGGAGGTCTCTTGAACTATTTGCTGGGGCTGACTTCGAACTGAATCTCCTATTCTCAGCCTCCCAAGTAGCTAGGAGTGCAGGTGTGAACCTCTGGTGCCTGGCTAGTGTGTTTCCTGTAGGGTGCACATAATTGGGTCTTGTGCTTTTTTTAAATTTAATCTGACAGTTTCTGCCTTCATGGGATGTTTAGACCATTGTGTTTAATATAATTGTTAGCGTGATTATTATTGCTATGGTTGCTATTTATTTCCCCTTCTCTGTCTTCCTTTGAATTATTTAGTATTTTCTGCGATTCCTCCTTTTCTCTTGTTGGTTTATTAGCCCTAATTATTTGCTATTAGTGGGGTTACTTTAGAGTTTATAGTATGCATCTTTAACTTATCACTGTCTACTGTGATATACTGTTTCTTGTATGGGATGAGAGTCTTACGATAGTATGCAATTTGACTTCTCCCCTTTTGACTGTTATGTGTGTGTATGGTAGAATATGCTACATAAAATTGATGATTTTAACTTTTTTTTTTTTAATGGTACTGGGCTTGAACTCCGGGTCACATGCTTGCTAGGCAGGCACTCTACTACTTGAGCCACTCCACTGTTAACCAGTTTTTTAAGTGTATAATTCAGTGACATTTTAAGTACATTCACATTGTTGTGTAATTGTTACTACTGTCTGTTTCTGAAAGTTGAAATAAAACTGTGCAACCAATAACTCCCAATATCCTCCAGTACCTGGTAATTTCTAATCTTATTTTCTGCCTCTATAAATTTGCCTATCTAGATATTTCATATAGCGGGAATAATACAATAGTTGTGTTTTTGTGCCTTCTTAGCATAATGGTTTCACAGTTCTTTATCTGTGTTGTAAATGAAGAGTATCAAAACGTTAATCCTTATTGGTGGCTGAATAATATCCAATGTGTATGTCTGTATCACGTTTTTATTTATCTCTTCATAGGTTGATGGGCAGTTGGATTGTTTCTACCTTTTGCCTTTTCTGGAAAATGCTCTTATGATCACTAATGTACAAGTTTTTGGTTTTTGGTTTTTTTTTTTGGTGTGCAAAGTTTTGTACATATAAATGGATCTTACATTTTTAACCATTCTGACAGTGTGTCTGGTTTTTGGTTTTTTTTTTTTTTTTTTTTTTTTTGGTAGAACTGGGGTTTGAATTCAGGACTTCTCACTTGCCAAGCAGGTACTCTATCATTTGAGCCACACCTCCAAGTCCATTTTTCTCTGGTTATTTTGGAGATGAGGTCAGCCTAGGCTGACCTTGAACTGTGATCCTCAGTTCCTAAGTAGCCTCCCAAGTAGCAAGGATTACAGGTGTGAGCCACTGGTGTCCAGCTTGACTGTGTGTCTTTTAATTGGCATGTTTAGACTGCTAATATTTAATGTGAGTATATGTTTGAATTAGACTCTGCCATCTTGTGAGCTTTTTGCTTTTGGATTTTTTTTCTTTTGTCTACTTTCTCTTGGGTTGAGAATTTTTATGATTCCATTTTTTTTATCTCCACTATTGACTGACTTAGTATTTATATCTTTAGAAAACTTTAATGGTTACCCTTGAGTTTATAATGACATCTTTAATCAGAGCCTACCTTCAAATATTATACTAATTTTACATCTAATATATGCTCTTTACAATTCCCAATTCCCCCTACCATTTTTTGTGCTGTCTTTGTCACATACTTATTTTGTGTATAGAATCTGCCTGCCTGCCTGGGTTGCTGAAGTGGTAGCTGCTGACTCTGCCTGCTGTTTTCTTGCTACTGCTACCATTTCTGTTTCCCAGCTCCTCAATCCCTACTCCCCTTCCCCAGCTCCCATCCAGCACAGAGTAGGCAGCAGTAGGTAGCAGAAGTGGCAGCAGCAACAGGAGGTGAGGAGGGAGATGGCAGGACCCATGGTGGACTGTGGTATGGGATATACAAAACTAGGATATGCTGGAAATACAGAACCATAGTAGATGATTGGCTCAAAGAAGGGTGATGAAAGATATTAGTGACCTAGACTTTTTTTTTTTTTTTGTGGTACTGGGGTTTGAACTCAGGGTCTACACCTTGAGTCATTCTACCAGCCCTTTTTTTGTGAAGGGTTTTTTTGAGATAGGGTCTTGCAAACTGTTTGCCTGGGCTGGCTTCTAACCACGACCCTCCTCATCTCTGCCTCCTGAGTGGCTAGGATTATGAGCCTGAGCGACTGACACCTAGCCGACTTAGACTTCTTCACTGGTGGTGAAGAATTAAAAACCTGTATGTGGAACAAAGTGCTCAATCTGCCATTGGATGGTTGAAGATTAGGACTTGATGACAAGGTTTATGGAGCAAGTTAAATGTTCAGGGCAGAACATGAGAAAAATATTTTCTTTTAACTGAACCTCCAGTGAATACTACAGAAAATAGGGAATATACTCCAGAAATAATGTTTGAGTCCTTCAGTGTTCCAGACCTGTACATTTCTGTGCTTTTGTTGCATCCTGCCTTTGAGACAAATAGGAGAATGGACATTGGTAAGACAGTGGAGATGGTGTCACTGTGGCTGAAGGGTATGTGACTGGCAGTTGTATTAAACACATTCTGGTACAGGACAGTATATTTTATTCAGTAACTACTGAGAGACCAAGAAGTTGGAATTCCTTGAGAACAATCCCTGAAAATTGCTAAGGCAGTAAAGGAGAACTATAGTTAAGTCTGCTCAGATTTAGTAAATTACTTTCACAAGTATGACACAGATGGATCAAAGTAGATTAAACAGATTGCTGGAATCAATGCAATTTCAAAGAAAGAATTTTCCTTTGATGTTGGTTATGAGAGGTTCTTAGGACATGAAATCTTTTTTCATCCAGAGTTTGCTAATCCAGACTTTATACACCCTATTTCAGAACTTGTAGTCATAGTCTTTGCAAGTGCTTTCGGAACTAAAAAGAAATTCAGAATTGTCCTCTTGATGTCAGACTTTCTCTCTACAAGAATATTGTCCTCTCTGTAGGTTCAGCCGTGTTCAGGTACTCACTTGTAAATTGATTTGAAAAGAACGTGGATGCCAGGCTAAAGTTAAGTGAGGAATTGAGTGGTGATAAATTGATACCAAAGCCTATTGACATACAAATTACTATACACTACATAGCGTGATACATAGGTGGTTTGGAGGATCAATGCTGGTTTCCTCACCTGAGCTCTACCAAGTGTGCCACACCAAAAAGGATTTAGAAGAAACTGGACACAGCATTTGTTGTCACAACCCAGTATTTGGAGTCATGTCATAAAATTGAGTTCATGGTTTCTGGAGTTGGAGAGATGGAAAAGAGATAATCTTTCTGATTAACTTTTTTTTTCTTTTTTGATTAACTTTTGTCTGGATGGTTGGCTTTGAGGTTTTAAACCTGACTTAATAGTAAGACCAAACATTATTATACAGGAATATTTTAATAAGTGTATCAACATGAAGGTGTAGAAGAGAGTCAAAATGATCAAGTTTTTTTCTTCCTTAGGTTGAATATTTGAATCCTACATGTAACAAAAAGAAGTGAGTTTTGGTTCATTTTGTGCCCTGATATTTTGAATATTATTGAGTTATTCAAGATTTGATGATTGAATTATATACTTCTAAGTGTGTAATATAAGAGCTTTTATACATTTCATACATTTTATACTTTGAGGAAAAAAGTATCCAAGTAAAGGATAAATTTGAACAATAGCCTCATAAGACTTGGCATGTACACTCATGGGATTCTAGTTATTATGAATTGCTTCTATTTCCTCCTCTCTTACCCTCTTCTACTGGTTTTCTTTGCAAGTGCTTTTAGAACTGCAAAGCTAGTTTCTAATTGCTCACATTGTTTCTCTTACATTAAAAGAAAAGACTATTACACTAGTATTGAAGTTCTGTAGTATAATTTCTTATTGAAAAAACAAACAAATCCAAATAATAACTTGATTGCCAAAACTGGTATACTTAAAACCTAACACCTTTTTTTTGGGGGGGTTGGGGGGTGCAGCACTGAGGTTTGAAGTCAGGGCTTGTTGCTTGCTATGCCCCAGCTAACACCATTCTCAAAAAGGCACAAATTCTTTTTAAAAAAAGAACATTTATTTATTACATATAAAATATATGTAATATTTTATAGAGAGAGTGGGGAACTGATCAGTGATATATTCTTTCAGTGTTTGAGAAACTATTTCTCCTTCATATTTTAAAAGGCTTTTTTTCCTAGGTATAGACTTCTGGGCTGAAAGTTACATTTCTGTGTTAAAAGTTATCACTCTAATCATCTCCTGGCCTCCACTGTTTCCAAGAAATCTGCTGTAGTTTTTAATCTTTGTTTCTGTGTAAGTAATGTGTATTTTTTTCCTTTGAAAGTGTTCAAGATTTTCTGTTTTTTGCTTGTAGCAGCTTGAAATGATATATTTAAGTTTGGAGTTTTATTTTGTTTTTATTGTATATTTATCCTTCTGAGTAGTCTTTGAGATTCTTAAACCTGTAGTTCAGTATCATTAAATTTGGAAAATTATTGGTGGTTATATCCTCAAATATTTTGTCTACCTATTTTGTCTCACTTCTTCTGGGATTCTAATTATGCATATGTATGGTATGTCACACAACTCTTGGCATTGGGTTTTGGTTTGTTATTTAAATTGTTTGAGCTTAGGCAATTTCTGTTGAAATGTCTTTGAGTTTATTGATTCTTTCTTTGCTCTGTCAAATTTATTGATGAGCCTGTTAAAGGCATTCTTCATTTCTTTTATTATGTTTTTCACTTTTAGCATTTTTTTAAATCTATTAATTCTTTCTTAGTTTGTGGCTCCTATTTTACTTACCTAATGTTAAGTTTTTATCTTTTCCCTTCTCAGCAGCAAGATTTGGATTTGGTTATCTTTTTCTTGTGTTTCTTTTTCTTACCTTAGACTTGGAAACACCTTTTTACCAGAAATCACCAAGAGCTGCTCCAAAATAGGACATAACAAGTTCACTCAAGCTAGCTCAAGAAATCAGGAGGTAAGAAGATAGTTGCATACTGTGTTGAAGAACATAGAGCTGCTGTGTATGTCCACCAGTCTGATTGACTTGCTTAGGTTTAATAGTCATCTAAATCTAGTCTTTTTTTTTCTCTGTATTTCACAAGACCATCAAAATAACTTATTTTACTCTTGTTCAAGCTAAATAAAATAAAGATGGGTTAGTTTTATATAGCTTCTTAACTAGGTCATAGGGTCTTAGATTGTGGTACCTTGGTAATGTTGGTGTATAGAACCTCATAAGGTTCATTTTTCTGTCAATTCCAAAACAGAAAACTTCCTAGTCCTCCATTATTTTTTGTCTCTGTCTGGCCAGAGTCAAAATTTGTTTCATTTTTTTCACTTAAACATTTTGTAAGCCTGCTGTCTTGGAGTTCACTCCGTGATGATTACACTGGTGAACAAGATGCCCTTTCCTGCAGGATAGAGAGATTCCTGCTTGCACAGTACAAAGTGTTAGTACTGTAACACAAGTGCAAAATGTCATGGGATTCACAGGATGTAGTGATACATTTGGAGTAGGGCAGATTGGTTAATGCTTTGTAGTACAGATAACATTTTAACTGGGTTAAAAAAATGATTAAGATCTTGATAGGCAGAGAGATGAATGGCCATTCTAAGCTCAGCACACAGCTTATTGCAAAGGCACTAATCTGTGAAGTATGTACTAAATAATTTATGTCCTACTCTTTGAGAGCCTGGTTCTTTTTTCCTCTTTTGCTCTTTTGTTGTCCCTTCTCTCTTTTTTTTTTTTGGGGGGGGGTACCGAGGTTTGAACTCATAACCTCGCACTTGCTAGGTAGGCATTCTACCACTTGAGCCACTCTGCCAGCCCCCTTTTTGGTTATATTTACCTCCTTTGTTTCCTGTAGTTCCCAGTGGTAGATCTTTCGGCACTGGTTCTGTAGATTAGGACCCAGCTGAGTGGATTAGTATCACCTCAGTATCCTCCAAATGGAAGAACAGGGAAATATTTTTCTCTATTCAGCCTGTGTTTCAGAGTGTATATTTAGCATAACCAAGAGAATCTTTCTTTGCATGAATTTGTGCCCTGTCATAGGGCAGATGATGCCATATTAGAACCAATGGAATGGATCAAAGCCTTTTATAGTATGCAGTAGTCACTTGCCCCATCAAGTGACTTGAACTTGTTCTTGATACTTGTTAAACTTCAACACCTTCTTACCTGTTTCTCTCCCCTCTGAAGCAAGGGAATGCTGTTGAAAGATCCAAATACTTACTGCCCTAGTATCTTTTCATTTGCAAAATCATTTTTCTTTTACTCTGTCATATACTATTCTATTTATTTTCAACATTAGTGGATTATTGAGAATTTAGAAGATGTACGTAAAGAACCATCTTCCTTTCTTTTTTTAGGGATTGGTGGGTAGGGGTAAGGGTTTAAGACTATACTGCAGTGTGCCTGAGAGGTGAAAAACTTGGGAAGAAGACCATTGGTAGCATTCGAAAAGGAGACAGGCTGCCCTGATACCTTTCCTGGAGAAAAAACTGCAGGGGGTGCTAGGCATATATTGAGAAGAATCCTTACTGGCTTATACTTTTGGGAAGTCCTGTAGCAACCAATGAATTGCTTTGCTTAGCTGTTTATGGTTTGGTCTGTTCTTTTTGTCCCCCTTACCAAAACAAATGAGGCTCAGTTAAGGAAAATAGAAGGGCTGGTGGAGCAGCTCAAGAGGTAGAGTGACTGCTTTGTGAGTGTTTGGCCCTGAGTTCAAACCCCAGTACTGCAACTCAGGAGGCAGAAATTAGGAGGATTATGGTTTGAAGCCAGCCTGGGAAAATAGCTCGCAAGGCTGGTGGAGTGGCTGAGGGTGTAGGCCCTGAGTTCAAACCCCAGCACTGCATTAAAAAAAAAAAGTAGATACAAGATGCCCACTACAAAACTGAATTCCTCTTAACTGGCATGAATGATAAGTAGGACTGTTAATATATGTGAGCACCAAGAATTGCTTTATAAGTTTAATACTCATATATTTTCTCTGGGTTGATAGGAAGCTGAACCATCTATCTCTAGAAATGTCTTCAGAAAGTAAAGAGCAACATGACTCTTCATCCAGAGACACAGATGAAGGAAATGACAGTCTTTCATCTGGGGTCCCCCTGGAGACTCAAAAGGAACGAAGTACTGACTTCAAGCAAGTTGAGACCAATGATCAATGCAGACTTTATCGTAGGATCCATGTGGAGCCTCAAGAGAAATCAAATACTAACATCAAGCAGCTTGTTATCAAAAAGCTACAGAAGAGTTGCCAGTGTAGCCCAACTAAAGCAAAAAATATGATTTTTGATTTCCTTCCTGTTTTGCGGTGGTTCCCAAAATATGATCTAAAGAAAAACATTTTAGGAGATGTGATGTCTGGTTTGATTGTGGGCATCTTATTGGTGCCCCAGTCCATTGCTTATTCCCTCTTGGCTGGCCAAGAACCTATCTATGGTCTGTATACATCTTTTTTTGCCAGCATCATTTATTTCCTGTTTGGTACCTCCCGTCACATCTCTGTGGGCATTTTTGGAGTGCTGTGCCTTATGATTGGTGAGGTAGTTGACCGAGAAGTACACAAAGCTGGCTACGACACTGCTGATACTGCTCCTTCTTTAGGAATAGTTTCTAATGGGAGCATATTAATGAATCACACATCAGAAGGGATATGTGACAAAAGTTGCTATGCAATTAAAATTGGCAGCACTGTGACCTTTATGGCTGGAATTTATCAGGTAAGAAATGTGGGAAACAACTGGGTATTTTTGGCAAAAGTGATCCCTATACCTGAAGTTGCTGATCTGCAAGGGATTCTTAGGGTTTGTAACAATTAAAGCTGTTGTTTACTGGGTGCTCAGTAGCACCAAAATTCAAATCCTTGACTCCACAGGTAAGATAAGGCTGTTTTTCTTTGCTGTTAGTAGGCTGCCTCTCACCCAATGAATTTCAGACAGGTTTTAATTATTTGATTGAAAAAAGGTCCTCAAAATACCTAGTACAACTCCTTCATTTTACATGTCTGAAAACATTGGTGTTGCTTGAGGTTATCTGTGGCAGAAGCAGTTGAGCAAGAAGTAATGGAATGGGAGTTGGGAGAGGAGGAGTGTAGGAGTTTTTCAAATTGTAGGTGTCTCTGACCCTTTCTTAGATCAATGCTCTAGTGAGTAAGTCTTACTAAAGACAGTAGTTCTCTTGGATTGTTGGGAAGGGAGGGAAAAAGTTGAGGGCTACTAAATATTATAAACTGAGAAAGGATTAAAAATGAAATTCTTCTTGAGTTTCCCATAGAATTCACTAATCTGCTGTTATGATCAGATGCTGGATGCCTGTTAGCATGGAACGGTCAGGGCCAGTATTAAACCTCTGCTATTGCAGGCATTTGGAACCAGCTAAGGAAGGGGAACAGTGGTTGTATCTGGTGCTTAGATGAGGTGGGGGAAGCAGAAGGAAGGTAGTGTGCAGATGAGTTGTACTCCTCAGAGTCTACTTTAGCTTTTTTCTTACACACCTCACCAAAGAATGAGCAAAGTGTAATAGAATTCTGAGAAATCGGAGGCGGAAGAGAGACACTTAGAAGATATATCTTTAAGGATACAGCATTATTAACATGGGAGACAGTATGGCATAAGCACATACATACTGGATTAGAACAGTTTCACAATATAAGGTTAAAGAGTTCAATCTTTTTTTGTTGTTGTTTTTTGGTGGTGCTGGGGTTTGAACTCAGGACTTATCACTTGCCAAGCAGGCACTACCACTTGAGCCACTCCACCGACAAGAGTTCAGTAATTTTTAAAGTGTGAATCTATTCTAATGTGAATGTAACTTTTTTTTACCAGTTAAATTTTCTTTTTTGTTGTTGTTTTTGGTTTTTTGGTAGTACTGGGGCCAGGTAGGTGCTTTACTACCTGAGCCATGCCCCAGCCCTTTTTCTTTCAGTATTTTTCAAATAGGGCCTCACTTTTATGTCTGGGCTGGGCTGGCCTGGACAATGAGCCTACTTTTTATATTTCCCATGTAGCTGGTGTGATAGATGCATGCTACCATGCTCAGCTTTGGGTCTTGAGGACTTTTGTCTGGATTGTTCTCGAACTACGATCCTTACTATCCCTGCCTCCTGAGTAGTTTAGATTATAGGCGGGAGCCACTATGCCTGGCTCAAAACTTCACTTTTAAGAATTTTTTTTCCTTTTCTTATTTGTTCTTTGTTTCTAGGAGTGATTTATAATTTAGAGAAAACTACATGGTTTCTGGATTTTTTGTTTTGTTTTTAACAGTACTGGGGATTTGAACTCAGGGTTTCATGCTTGCTACACAGGTGTTCTACCACTTGAGCCATACCGCCAGGTCTGTTTGCTTTAGTTATTTTTTGGATAGGGTCTCCAGTTTCTGCCTAGGGCCGTCCGTGGACCACAGTCCTCCTTCCCTACTACCTATGCCTCCAGTGTACTTGGGAAGGCAGGCATAGGCAGGTTTGTTGGTTGAGATGAGTTCTTACTAACTTTTTGCCCAGAGTGGCCTGGAACTGTGATCATCCCGATCTCTGCCTCCTGAATAGCTGAGATTATAGCTTAGCCCTATACGTGGTTTCTTAAGATATTTTTGGCAGCACTGGGGTTTGAACTGAGGGCCTCATGATTGCTAGACAGGTGCTCTTACCATTTGAGTCACTCCACGGCTACATGGTTTCTTAATTAGAAGAATTTTTCAAACTGGGCACCAGTGGCTTAGGCCTGTAATCCTAGTTACTCAAGAGGCAGAGATCAGGAAGATCGCCGTTCAAAGCCAGCCCCTGGCAAATACCCTGGCATGAAACCCTATTTCAAAAAATACCCAACCAAAAGTGGGCTGGTGGAGTGGCTCAAGAGGTAAAAGCACCTGTCTACCAAGAGTGAGACCCTGAGTTCAAACCCCAGTACTGCTAAAAAAGCAATAAAAATAAAAAAGGTTTCAGATTTGAGGTTTTCTTGTGGAACCTTAAGAATTTTCTTTTTAAAAGAGGTCTGAACCTTATTCAAGTTTTAAGAAACATTGCATGAGAAGATAGAAGTCCTGAGTTCCTAATGAGTAACAGTGTGACCTTTGGCAAGTTTCCTCTCCTTATAATATGAAAAGATTGATGTATTGTTGCATATATTCTAGCTCTGATATTCTGTGATGCTCTGACAGTTGTCACCATGTAAGAGTAAGACAAAATTTAGAAGCTCTTTTCCATTTAAATTTAATGCTTGTGTGTCCTCCCTTCCAGGTAGCGATGGGCTTCTTTCAAGTGGGCTTTATTTCTGTCTACCTCTCAGATGCCTTGCTGAGTGGATTTGTCACTGGTGCCTCCTTCACTATTCTTACATCTCAGGCCAAGTATCTCCTTGGACTAAGCCTTCCTCGGAGTAATGGCGCGGGCTCACTCATCACTACATGGATACATATCTTCAGAAACATCCATAAGACCAATCTCTGTGATCTCATCACCAGCCTTCTGTGTCTTTTGGTCCTTTTGCCAACCAAAGAACTCAATGAGCACTTCAAGTCCAAGCTCAAGGCACCAATTCCTACTGAACTCATTGTTGTTGTGGCAGCCACACTAGCATCTCATTTTGGAAAACTAAATGAGAATTACAATTCCAGTATTTCTGGACATATTCCCACTGGGTTTATGCCACCCAGAGCTCCAGACTGGAACCTAATACCTAACGTGGCTATAGATGCAATAGCTATTTCTATCATTGGTTTTGCTATCACTGTATCACTTTCTGAGATGTTTGCCAAGAAGCATGGCTACACAGTCAAAGCAAATCAGGAAATGTATGCCATTGGCTTCTGCAATATTATCCCTTCCTTCTTTCACTGCATTACTACTAGTGCAGCTCTCGCAAAAACACTGGTTAAAGAATCAACAGGTTGCCAAACTCAGCTATCAGCTGTGGTGACAGCTTTGGTTCTTCTGTTGGTCCTTCTGGTAATAGCTCCTTTATTCTTTTCACTTCAGAAGTGTGTCCTTGGTGTGATCACTATTGTAAATCTTCGGGGAGCCCTTTGTAAATTTAGAGATCTGCCCAAGATGTGGAGGGTTAGCAGAATGGATACAGTTATATGGTTTGTTACTATGCTGTCCTCTGCTCTGATAAGCACTGAAATAGGCCTGCTTGTTGGGGTTTGTTTTTCTATGTTTTGTGTCATACTCCGCACACAGAAGCCAAAGATTTCATTGCTTGGTTTGGTGGAAGAGTCTGAAATCTTTGAATGCATGACTGATTACAAGAACCTTCAGACTACACCAGGCATCAAGATTTTCCGCTTCATAGCCCCTCTCTACTACATAAACAAAGAATGCTTTAAATCTGCTTTATACAAAAAAACTTTAAACCCAATCTTAGTAAAGGCAGCTCGGAAGAAGGCAGCAAAGAGAAAACTCAAAGAGGAAACAGTGACTTTCAGTGGAATCCAGGATGAAGTTTCAGTGCAACTTTCCCATGATCCCCTGGAGCTGCACACAATAGTGATTGACTGCGGCTCAGTACAGTTTTTAGATACAGCAGGGATCCATGTACTGAAAGAAGTCCGAAGAGATTATGAAGCCATTGGCATTCAGGTTCTGCTGGCTCAGTGCAATCCCTCTGTGAAGGATTCCTTGGCCAGAGGAGAATACTGCAAAAAGGAAGAAGAAAACCTTCTCTTCTACACTGTGTATGAAGCAGTGGCTTTTGCTGTAGAATCTCAAAACCAGAAAGGAATTTGTGTTCTCAATGGTCTGAGTTTTTCCAGTGATTGACAAAGTAAATGAAAGGAAGAATACAGTCTAGCCAATAGGCTAAAATTTCAATGTGCAACATTTTCCACTGTGGAACTAGAAAATGTTGCAGACTTGAAATTAATTCTTCCTTTACAGCTAATGACTTTTTTATATTTTCAAACGTAACAGAGCTTATGGGTGGACAGAATCAAAAAGAAGATGTTGTGGTTTCAAGCTTTCATGCAGATACGAAGTATTTTTGGGTGCAGTAGTTATTTATTGAACTTAGTAGCCCGTGCTTAATTACCACCTTGCTTTAGAGACTATACATTTGGACTCTTCCTCCTCCAGGAGGTAAAAGGGTGAAGTAGAGGTGCACAATAGAAATGCTAGAACCTTTGTATGGCTCTGGAGAGGGGAGGAAAGAAGGCAGAGAATGTTGTACCTGCTCTTCCTGTGGCAGCAGGATGAAAGGCTCGTGGAGCATGAGGTCCTAACCAGACAGGTTTATTCTTACAGTGCTTCTCTGTTCCCAGCCTTTACTCCCCAGACAGCAGTAGGATATTTGGCATTTAGTAGGAAAACATCCTCCTTTCCTTAAGGCAGAGAATAGTCTGTGAGCACAGTGTTGTTTGGAGTCTGGTGGCAGGTTTGTGACATCCTGATAACCAGCCTGACATTAGACAGAGCACACTTTGTAACATCTGACACCATTTTATTTAGGATAAGTAGGTAAGCAAAGAGTTCTTCAAAATTGGGAAAAAAACAAGAGTCCTCTGTCTTTTCTGTGGTCTTTGTTCTTGTTTCTGAGAAGTTAGTTATCATTAAGCTGTTTTAGCTTTTAGTTTTCCTAGAGCTTTCCCATGAAATGTGTTCAAAACTGCTATTTCTGAATATTAGTGATCGTATTGCCAGATAAAACAGGATACTAACTCAACATTTTCTTACAAAATTTTAAATGAGCTTGTGGCAAACTGTCAAGGACAGATTTTAGAAAAGGACAGTTTCTCTTAAGAACTGTGGTCCTTCCCCTCTACTCCATGGCATTTTGGCGAGGTCTGCTGGGGACTGACAGTCTTTCTGAAATAGAAGCTGCTGTTCATGGGAAGGATGTACAGAAGTAATAGAATGTTTCCATGTATGGGAGTTTTTTTGCTTGCGATTGTTAGCACCATAAACTGCCAGTGTTTCTCCTGTTTGTTTACATTTTTTTGTTGGTTTAGTTTGAAACAGGTCTCACTATGTAACCCAGTCTCACTTTGAACTTGTTATTTAGTTTAGGCTAGCCTCAAACTCACGATCCTCCTCCTTCAACTTCCTGACTGCTGGGAGTACGTGCAGGCCACCAATCCTTGCAGGAAAATACTTTTCTATCATCCCAGCAAAGCAGTTGCTGATGGGAAAAAAAAAAAAAAAACCCACATTTCTAGCTTCTAGTTGATTGTATTATTATTATGGTTAAATGTAACATCCTGATTTTTTTTTTTTTTTTTTTGGAGACAGGGTCTTGCCATGTAATCCAGGCTGGCCTGGAACTCTTGATCTGCCTGCCTCAGCCTCCCTAGTGTGGTGAGATTGTAGATGTGTCCCACCATGCCTGGGTCAACCTTAATTTTAACATCTCTTTAGAACTTAGGTCTACAGTTTTGGAAATGTCAGCTGCTGCTTATATTTGTGATTTTTTTGTTTTTGTTTTTCTAATGTTTATCCTTCCCAACCTTATTAATAATTATAAAATTATAGTATCTTAGTCATTTGTTTTTAATCCCTCTTGCCCTTTTCTCAAGCCAGGTTGAATCCAGTCTATTATAGATGTCTAATATTTTGTCGCAGAGTGTTTTAAGACAACTCTGTAATTCATCCAACACCAGCATAACTAAAGAATTTTAGTACATTAGTATTTGGGAAATACTTAGAAGTTTGGATAGCAGAATTTGCTCTTTACCTCACAGTTTAGTCCTCATGTGGATGTAAACAGTTCTGGAGCTTTACACAGTTACCAAATTCTTGAATAAGTTCTGGTTTGTGCCTGTCCCTCCTAAACAAAGAAGAGATTCTGCTTTTAGTAGCCATTAAACTATTGAGATTTCAATAGGGGTGGGAGATATGGCTCAAGTGATAGCAAGTGTAAAGCCCCAGTTCAAACCCCAGTATCATTTAAAAAAAAGATTTCAATAGAATTGGATTGAGGTCTGGCTGTAATGACATTGATAACATTTTGTGAGGGGGGCTGGCAGAGTGGCTCAAGTGTAGAGCACCAGCCTAGCAATCATGAGGCCTTTGAGTTCAACGCCCTCCCACCCCGTTTGGTTTTGTTTTTTTTTTTGATTACTGATATTTAAAGGAATCAAACCTGGAACCAAAGCCTAATTTGCAACAACAACAAAGAATGTTTTCATTTGCTTTCTTGATACTCTAAACATGAGAGTCTAAAGCATTTTTTTTATTGCTTATTAACAAACACAAAATTCTGAATATGTTTAAATGGTTATCATTTAAGTGAAATGCAGTGTGTACAATCTTAATAGTTAAAACTCATACTTTATTTTTAAACTTTTATAACTAAAGGGGTAGAGTGTGCCAGTGTACAAGTAGACATGCTGTGCAAGGAAAAGAACTTGCAGGGAGGATAGAAAAGAAAGGGAAGCAACTGAGTACTGTCTAATCCCTGGTAAACCTCACATGATAGTAGGACACACACCTCTTCTGTTCTTAAAAAGTCAGAAGTGGGTTCTCTGTCTAGAAGGGGTGAGTTACAGGTTCACCCAAGCTCCAGAGAGCTGAGAAGCACCTGTCAGATTGTGGCAAAAGCCTGGGTTGACCTAAGCTTGTACACTGTGTCTTCCCTCTAAACTGAGTGACTGTAGTGTGCCTTGTGCCTCTGATGTGGTAATAAGACTGACAGATATCTACTTGATCGTTTAAGTAGGACCAAAGGAAAGAAAGGTATGATTTAGATAGTCTGTCTTAGCTTTTAAATAATAGTAGGCATTGATGTCAAAACTTGTTAAATGTAGAAATGGTGAACTTTAAAAATGTATGGGGTTGTTTGATGAGTTCCTTAGACTATTCTAATGCGAATAACTACATTTTAGCAAAACATTAATTCCCTGCTGGGTTGTTCTCTGAGTTGTTCCTCATTTAAGAACATTTAAGGTCTAGTCCTGATTCAGTATCAAAGTAAGAAAAGTGATATAATGCATTTCCCGGGAACTTAAATTGTGTCTCCAAGTTACAATGATAATCTCGGACTCTCTGATCCCTATTAAATGTTCTTAATGAATTGTTTTCCTTTATTTGTTGTTAGAGATGGCCCATCAATACAGATATTACCTCAGCTATTTCTGAGACCTTTCTAGGAGTGAGGGGATCTGGACTAGGTGCTGGTACTATGCTACTAGACAGGTAACACACTGGGCACTTAGGTGCTTTGTGGAGAGAGTTGATCTGAGGCTTGATTCAGTTCTGGTCTTTTCAGGAAAGAGTTCATGGTAAAAGTCCAATTGACAAAATTTAGATTTTTGCTTAATTTTTCTGTTCTTTTGTGTTTTCTCCCTTGAATCTTTTCTTTAGTGATTTAAAACTAGGCTTAAAACTGCAAAGAGGATGAAAGGGGATCTAGAAAGCTGTTAGGCTCCAAAGTATCCCCTCCCCCCTTTTTTGTATAAAGAATTTAGATAATCATGAATCATAAATTTGGATGCTAATTATTTGAAAATTATATTGGAGTGGAACAAAATACACCAGCTGGTTTGTTATAATCTAGATGTTAAAGTAGAATAGTGTTGAATACTCTGTTAAAAGTAAATTGTTAAGGTTTTTTAAAAAAAAAAAATTAGTAACTTAGGAATGGAGAATTTAAATGTAGGGTTTGAACTCAGGTCCCTGAGCCTGCTTACAGGCAGGTGCTCTTCCATTTGAGCCACACCTCCAGCCACAGATTTATTTTTGTAAGGTAATTTTTATCCTGATATTAAAAATATTTTGCAAATAAAATTTGCATGTTTAAACATGTTAAATACAATTACAAAGTAAAGTAAACATGATACTAAATAGTAGATTCTTTGGTGTGTATTTTTTAACTTGGTAGGGTAAAATAAGAACATATTGAATTCTGAAGAATTCAATGGATAATGAAAGACACCAAATGCCTTTATTAAAGATGTTATATTTGTGAGTCTGTAGATAAGCAGCCTAGGCCAGAAAGGTTATGAATCTGAAGCTTTAATAAACTTAGGGGAGGTTCTTCCCCACTCCCTATACCATCCCTAAAATAATAACATACCTGGAATCAAGTAGCTCTTGCCTTTTCAATGCACAGCAGTTGGGGAATTATGGCTTGATGCTGTCACAACATCTTTTTCTCAGAAATGAGTGTGAGCAAACCAAAACAGGCTACCTTTTTTCCTTTGTAACGTTGTATACAAACCAAGACAACATCAGGGAGACAGGTGAATGAACTTAAATTCTCGGTCTTGTCTATTTATAAAGAAATTATACTGCCTTTTTTCTCCTTTAATTATCAAGGCTGATGACTTTAGGAATATGTTTTGTACTGTGTGTGTATGTGTTTAAAGTGCCTTGATGTCATTCCTCACAAGTCATTGCTCGACCATGTTATAGGACAAGAAGGAATTATTGATGGATTAGAACTGTTGGTTAATAGCAGATCCTTTTCTTCTGGAAGAATTTGTGTTGTTTATATTTGTGGATAAATTTGTTTGCTAATAAATTGCTACTCTAATAAAATACTACTCTGTCTAAGTTATTTTAGTGAAATATTTAGGCACTAGTGAGTTTTGAAATAATGTCTCAGCTGGGTATGGTGGTTCATGCCTATAATCCTAGCTACTTGGATCACAAGTTTGAGGCTAGTTTGGGCTATATAGCAACACACGGTCTCAAAAAAACTAAATAAATTAAGTAGAATCTCTTTACATTTTGAGAGCGGCTCATCCATTTTTCCCAGTTATAACAAAAATATGTCATAGATGCAAAGCATTAAGAAACCCAATTCTTTTCTTTCTGGGACTCAATTTTTCCATCAGCGAAGAGGGAGAGGACTTGATGGCAGCATTTCCTGCAGAATTCCTTTTCTCTCAGGGCCTCTTCTGAGCTCCGCCTCTGTTCAGTCTATGCATATTTACTAAAATGACATTTACCACTCATGTTTCCTCTTCTGTCTCCTGTACTGAGTTTGAGGTGGGGCTATGTACTTCACCTTTAGAGCGCCTATGGCCAGCAGTGGCTGTATTATAAGGGTCTAATAAGTTATTACTGGAAACATGGATATGTGTGTGAGGGGGGTTGTTTGTTTTTTATATTACTGAGGCTTGAACTTAGGGCCTCAGTCTTGCTAGGCAGGCATTCTACCACTTGAGCCACTCAACTAGCCCTCTTTTGTGTTGGGTCTCCTGGAGATAGGGGCTCAGAACTATGCGCCTGGGTTGGCTTCGAACCGTGATCCTGCTTTCTGCTTCCTGAGTAGCTAGGATTACAGGTGTGAGCTACCAACACCCAGCTGAAACATGGATATGTTTGATGAGTAATTATCTCTCCGACACTGACTCATTTCCAGAACGTGTGATCTGTTCAGAGTTAATTACATAGCTATGATATCAATAGAGTGGGAAAAGCCTACTGTATAAAGTCTAGATGTGTAATGAAGTACATTAGGTTGTCCCAGGCACTTAGTTCTAGGTTAGTTGTTTGAACAGGCCCACATTCTACCTCTCTTCCCCTTTCTTTCTTCCCTCTCAATCTATACTACATCAGAGAAATAAGTGGCTGCTAAGGTTTTTTTTAAGTGGCTAACCCTTCTCCCTTATGTGGCCCACCTGTGCCATCTGGTGGCAAGAATATGCTAGCACATTCCACTTTAAATATGGTCCCAGTAGCATGAATAGCTAACAGGTCTGCAACCTTGGAATTAAATTATCTGAGCCTATTTGTGCTTTTGTATCATGATTTGCTAGAAAGATTTAATGATAAGTGAAACTGCCTGACATAATAGGCAACCAATAAATCTTAGTTTCCTTCCTTTTGAATAAAAGCCCTCCTTAGTAATGAAGCAAAGAAAATAGCTTATCAATCTGGAACACTGAACCCCAAGATCTATTAATGGAAGAAAGGGTAAGGAAATGAAAGAAAAGGTAAGGCATGTTCGTGACTAGATGGTACTGGTTAAGTTCCAAACAGGGGCAGACAGTAATGACAATAGGTAATATTTAAATAATGCTGAACCAGGTACATCTTTTAGTCCCCCTGACAACACAACGGAGGTAGATGCCTAGTCCTAGTATGTTGGGCTTTGTTGAAGAAAACTCAATTGAGGCAGAATGAGAATTGCCACTCAAATGGAGCTGGAGGGACCAGAGTTACATGGAAAGCCACATAGGGTC